ACAGTCTGATACACAACTGATGATAGGGATGGCATGCATAGGACCAGTAGTGCCTTTCCATTGTGTATGGAACCACGATGATTTAAAGTGACTCTGTAGCACCTAATAATAACAGTGTGAAGATGCTCTTTAAAAGCATGAAAGTACTCTAAGTATATTAAAGTTTGGTAGTGTTTTTATGTAGTGTGGGCTATGAAGTTTACAATATACATTTATTTTAGTATGTATCATTGCAGTCGAGTCTGTTTGACTTATTGTGACCTGGTGTGATGCTGTAGGATAAAGCACTGGACTGCAAGGTAGGTTTGAGCTGCAAGGTTGGCAGTTCAAATTCCCCAGCGGTTCCTCGAAAACCACATAACCACCAATCTTTATGGAAGCCTACTGTCACATCTTTCTCCTGAGGTGGGGCCCATGGGCTTGAACCACTGATCTTTCAGTTAGCAGCCAAGCCATCTGTGCTCCTTATTTATTGGTTAATTTTTATATGTTGTTGTTGTTATGTGCCGTGTGTCCGACTCATAGCGACCCTTACAGGGTTTCTGAGGCTGTAAATCTTTACAGGAGCAGAAAGCCTCCTCTTTCTCCCGCTGAACAGCTGGTAGTTTCGAACTGCTGATCCTGAGGTTAACAGCCTGATTCGTAGCCACTGTGCTACCAGAGCTCCTTAAGCCATGCAAGTTTGTTTTTAAGCCTTTGATTTGTGTCTGAAGTGGTCTCCTGATCTTTGCACTTTCCAATGAGGAGAAACTGCTGAAGTCCAACCATCAGATACTCTGTTCTCTGCTTAAACTATTTCAGTGACTACACTCCATTGGAGAAAGCTTGTTTTGCAGTATTAACAAAAATATGGACACTAGGGAAATATTGCTTACTATGTTGAATAGTAAACATGACCTATTTTTCATAGCTAAAATTGCAGGCTTATGAAACTATTTGGAGTGTTGGAATAAGTTTTGCAAATGAGTATAATAGTGTAACAGACCATGGAGAAATGACCGCTTCAGATTTAGATGTAGAGTTTGGCTATGGTATAGCCATAGACCTAAAAAAAAAAAAAAAAGTAAGACATTGATTCTGGAGACAGACTGTGTTAAGTATAATGAAGTACTTCATTTCTTTGAGAATCATCTAAAACTTAGGTTAAAAATAGGTCTAATAGGTAGGTTAAATGAGAATTCCTGACAAGTACTCCTTAAATGTGAGTTGGTATTAATCAATTAATTTTTAGGATATTAGGCTTTTTTACAGACTGTTATTTAGATGAAGTAGAATCTTGTCTTCTGAGTAGAAGTCATCTTGATTCATTGTTTCCAGGAAAAGCTATGACTAGTGTTTCTTTTTCTTGATCATGCTATTTTGCTCGTGATTGGCAAAAGTTAATCATTTTCAAGGAGGTTGAATTTTTAGCATGAGATTCTGAGCCATCTTTGTGGTAGAAGTCCAATGGGTATGCAAATCTTGTTGATAAAAAGAGAATTTTAGGAATCTGAAGAATTGGTGGTTTCTTTTATTTAAAACAGTTTCCTGTAAATCTCATCTAGATCTACCACCACCTCCAACCCTATACCCCACCCCAAGCTATGTAGGTAAAGGTTTTGAAAAGGTCTAGGTTTCTATATATTTTAAAACTGGGCTCTATAGGAGAAAAATATTTCTAATGTTAACTCACTTTTCATTCCACATAGCATTTCTAAGAAGTCTCTTTAAAAATATTATTTTCTTTTCAAAAGAGAATAAAGATTTTTTTTTTTTTAAGTGTGGAATTGTGGTGTGTTTTTTAAGAATAATCAGTTGTTTTAAAAAATGGGAAAGAGTTTCATAAAAGTGGCAGAAATGTAACAAGAGGGGTTTTTCTAAAATCTTAGAGGCATAATTAATCCTTTTGTATTATCACCTTTTAAGTGTCAATTTGGAGGCTTCTATTGAGACATTTACACATGTAGTCAAGCACATGCTTGATGTCTGATTGGTGTGAATAAAAGGCCAGGGGCTCCTGATAATGCTTGTCTACTGTATCCCAGCGTTTATACCAGAGCACTTCCTTCCTGACCTTAGGCTAAAGGAATTGGGTTTTAATTCTGAAGCCCCTTGAGTGGACAGACTGGTTATTAAATTATTTCCTCATTCTTAGGAGTGTATATTTGTGCCAGGAATTTCTGCCAAGCTCATTATAAGACCTCAGAAGAAATCAAGCAAGTTTAGTTTAGTGAAGTCAGTCACCCCAAAGGTTCAAGTAATGTATGATTCTACTGATAGGAAATACCTAAGATAGGCAGGTATTTAGAGACCAAGCTTTATTAACAGTTACCCAGGGGCTTGTGGGAGGGAAGGGAAAAGGGGAGTTCCTTACTTCATTTATTTAAGTATTTAGATTTACTTCATGAATTTATTTATACTTCATTTATTCGTGTCATCACAGTCAACTCTACTTTGAGGAGGCAGCTCTTCCCCAGTTGTATTTCGAGTGCCTTCCAACCTGTGGGGCCCATTTTCTGGCACTATATCTGATAGTGTTTCTCTGCTATTCATAAGGTTTTCAGTGACTAAATATTCAGAAATTGTTTGTCACTCCTTCTTCCTCATCTGGAAGCTCATCTGAAACCTATCTACCATGGATGACCCTGCTGGTATTTAAAATACCGGTGGCATAGCTTCCAGAATCACAGCAACTCACAAGCCACAGTACGACAAACTGACAGGTTATTCTTTATTATACTTAGTATGTATTACACTTGTTGTTGTTGTTAAGTGCCATCAAGTTGGTTCCGACCCATAGCTACCCTGTATAGGGTTTCTGAGGAGTGGCTGGTGAGCTTGAACTGCCGACCTTGCAGTTCAAACAGCTTTGCAGTCTGGCATATTAACCCACAGTGCCACACCAGGACTCTGGCATAGGTGTAATAAGGTTGAGGGTTGACTACATCTTTTCTGTAATGAAGGATATTGATATTGGCCGTACCTTATAGAGAAGAGGGATCCCTAGTGCTACAGTGGTTAAGCGCTCAGCTGTTAACCAAAAGGTTGGCAGTTCAAACCCACCAACCACTCCACAGGAGTGGTTCCATAATGATAACCTTGGAAACCCTATGAAGCACTTAGTTCTAACCTGTTCTTTAGAGTTACTATGAGTCAGCACCAACTCAGTGAGTGGATTTGGTTAGGGAGTAGAATGACCACATTTATTTCTAGAGCATAATTTGCAGTGAAAAATACCAGTTATCGTAACTAACAGGATTATTGAAACACAGGGAGGAAGCAGGATAAGTGATAATACATTGAAGGGATTGTAATCAATAAGATTAAACAAAATGTGTATAAATTGTTGCATGTAAACTGCTCTGTAAACCTTCACCCAATTCACAATAAAAGGGTTTTGTTTTGTTTGTTTGTTTTATTTTAAAAAAAAAAAAAAAGCAGTATGCATACTTTATTTGACTTGACCTCTGACCTTTAATTTCATCCTTCATTCTTTTCATACAGCGCTTTTCTCAACATTTTTATGTCATTATTTTATCAGATTATATTTTGTATTCCCAGCACATTTACCTCGTTATTATGTGCTGTTGAGTCAATTCCTATTCATTGCTATACTATATGACAGAGTACAACTGCCCCATAGGGTTTCCAAGACTGTAATTTTTATGGGCACAGACTGCCACATCTTTCTCCCAGGATACGCTTGGTGGGTTCAAACCACCTAATACTTGATTAGCAGCCAAGCACTTAACTATTGCACTACCAGGGATCCTTACAGACTATACAAAGGGGCTTCAAAAAGTTCATGGAAAAAATGGAATTCAAAGATAAAGGCAGTTTTCCACAAACTTTTGAAAGCCCCCCTCATATTTTGTCAAATTTCCTTTGTGAGTTTTGTCACTTCTGCTTAAAGTTAAGGATTCCCGTCCAACAGTTGTTGACTTTGCCAACTCCTGTCCCAGGCTTCAGTCCTGAATGCCTGTTTTCCTGTAAAGCTTTCCCTGTTTCCCCTGAGAAGGTAAGTGTAAGTGCTCCGTCTTTCTGTGCTCACACAAGACCTTTGCACAAGTCATCTCATCACATTGTAACTACCAGTCCCTGCCATCAGAGCATAACTTTTTGAAGGTAAGGTTAGCCTTCCTTGTTTTTGTGACTGATCCATACCTGTCACCATCAAGTTGATTCCAGTTCAGTGATATAGAGGACAGTAGAACTGCTCCTTGGAGTTTCCGAGACTGAATCTTGATGAACGCAGACTACCTCACTGTTCTCCCACAGAGTGGCTGGTGACTTTAAACCACTGACCTTGTGGTTAGCAGCCCAAAGCTTATCCTCTTACACCACTAGGACTCCATGGCTGGTGCATAGTAGGAGTTCAAATTGGTTTTGTTTGGATGAGGGTGAGTTATTAAAAGTTGTACAGTCAATAAGCATATTTCATAAAGGCATTGACAGTTTTTATAACTTTGTGAGTGTTCATCTTATAATGTTGTTAAATGTCATGAAGTTGGTTCTGACTCATAGTCACCTTAGAGTTCCAAGGAGCTGCTGCTAGTGAGTATGAACAACCAACTTTGTGGTTAGCAGTCTAGTGCTTATCCTATAGCACTATACCAGGACTCTCTCATATTGTAATAGATATGATAAAGTGAAGAGGTTTTTTAGTAATACTTACCTCGTTTTATTGCACTTCACAGATAAGATATTGCACATTTTAGAAATGGAAGATTTGTAGCCATCCTGCCTGGAGTTAGTCTGTTGGCCCCATTTTTCCAACAGCATGTGCTCGCTTAGTGTCTCTGTCACATTTTGGTAATTTTCAAACTTTTTCATAATGCTATTGCACACTTAAGTAGTATAAATATAAATTTTATATGCACTGGGAAACTGAAAAATATGTGTGGCTTTCTTTATTGTGATGGTGTGGAACCGAACCTGTAGTAGCTTTGAGGTGTACCTGTATCAGAGAGGATGTTATGCTATTTGACTTCAGCTGACTGACTTTCTGTGTTTCTTTCCAGCTTACAAGACAGTATCAGGAGTCAATGGTCCACTAGTGATCTTAGATCATGTTAAGGTAATACCATGGTCTATTATAGTTTGACTGACCACATATAAAGTTAAAAATCTTTTCAATCCTTTCAAAGCCATGCTGTGTTTTTAAACCATTCATTGATCTGAATATCAGTGCTATATTGTTGTGTTTAAGTGCTGTCGAATTGGTTCCAATTCATAGCAACCCTGTGTAGGGTTTCCAAGGAGCAGTGAATTTGAACCACCGAGACAGAAATATATGTATCTTAGTACCCTTACCATAGATTGCCATGTGTTCCAGTTATAGTGCATAAAGATTATTACTTTATCTTTGTGGGCTTGGTGAGAAAAACCTGAAAGCAAAGAATACTTGTAACTATTCAGCTTGTTGTAAGGGTCTTTGTTGTAAGGGTCAGCCATACCTGTATATAAAAATTATGAACACTGTTATTGTTATCTTTGGAAAAGAGGCATAGGATATAGTCTTTAATTGGATACCTTGGTCTAAGCCTTCTCCCTGAGCTTCATGATCAAAATATCTTCAGAGAAAATAGTTTATATAATATGCTTTTTAGAACAGTAATTCTTTATTGGTTGATATTAGTGTGGGCTAAGGATTGAATTGCTCAATTACTAGTTTTTTTTGAGTGAGCTTAATGATATCATTGCATTGATATGTGGCCCCTCTGGAAGCATAAAAATAAAGGATAAAATGCAGTTTTCTTTGGCTGGTATTAACTAAGATAGTATTTTGTGTGTGACAAGATACCTGTACAAATTAATCTTAAGGTATAGCAAATTTACTTCCTAACCAGTTTTATTCTGGTCTGCAAATTGTTTCAAAGCCGCAATATAGCACTCTTATGTTATATAAGATTTAGGTAGGTACCTGTTAATGTTTTCTGAAGGAAAAGTGCCTACCTTTTTTTGCCCTGGGGAGCATAATCAGAATTGAAAATAATGATGAACAGTAGAAATGGTTCCTCTTCCATAGTAAATGTAGAATTTAAAACTGATGGTGAGTGGTGAGTACTTGAAGGGTAAGTATAGGAAACTATGAGAGACAAGGAGAAGAGAGAAAATATCTTTGAGGAAGTAGTTTTTAAGGGAGCTAAAATTTTTTTCATTTTTTATGGTAAACCTGTATGGGAAGAAAGACTTATTAAATTTTTTACCAGATTTAGGCTTTATTTTTGTTGTTGTTTTTTAAAACTTCCTTTAACAAACTCACTAGTGGTTTTTTACAGCTTCTCCAGTTTACCCCAAGAATTAGTTTTGAATTTTCTCAGATACCTAGCAGGTTTTATTTTTTGGTTTTTGGTTTTACCTTAGAGCATGCACCCAAAATCAAGTAATATATAATCTCATATACAAATTATATTACAGAATAAAAGATGGAGAGTTGCTGCCCAACTCATTTGAAAAGTTAGTGTTACCTTTGATTCTAAAACTAGATAAAGACTAGTACCAGAAAACAGAACTATAGCCATCCTCACTTAAAAACACAGATGTCAAAATCTGTAATAAAATATATTCATGTTAAATTTCTCATACAGTTAATACAGAAAAAACATTTCATTAAGTTAAATATCCTTTTTTAAATCCTCTTTGTAAATACAGAATTGTTGTTACGTGCTGTTGAGTCAGTTCCAACTCATAGCAACCCTGTATAGTGTGTCCTAAGAAGAACTGGTGAGTTTGAACTGCTGACTTCATGGTTTGTAGTCCAGTCTTATCCTACAGCACAAATAAAATGAACTTTTATTTAACTTCCTAAAGGTTACTCACTACCACCTTCAGCAAACAGCATAGCTAAGGAGAGATTCTAGAAGCATTCACCATTTTCATTTGAATCAGGAGCAGGGTGAGGATGCCTGCTGTCATCATCATTATTCACCTTTGTGCTTGGAACCTAGCCAATTCTGTGAGGAAAACAATGGCTGTAAAAAAAATTAGAACAGAAAACGGCACAACACTTATCATTTCTTATGATTAAGTCATAGAATTCTTGCCTTCCATATGGGAGACCAGGGTTCAGTTCCCAGCACATACTCCTCATGTACAGCCATTGTCTTATCAGGAGAGACTTGAGTGATACTATGATAGTGTTAAAGGCTTCAGCAGAGCTTCCAGACTAAGAAGGTAGGCTAAGAAGAATGACTTGGTGATCTGCTTCTGAAAATCAGCTAAGGAAAACCCTGTTGATCACAGTGGTCTGATCTTCAAACAATCATGAGGATAGCCTGGGACCAGGCAGCATTTCCTTCCACTGTGCATGCAATTGCCGATGATGGGGGCCAACTTGATGGCAGATAACAAGAAATGTTCATTTCTTGATGATATGATTAAACAGAAAGTCTAAACCTTTCACTGGAGACAATTAGAAACAATGATACAAGACAATTGCCAGATAAAGGATTAGTCCTACATAAATGAATATTGTTGTATATGTCAGAGTAAATGATTCGAATAATCAGTCTAATTATTTACAGAAAACGATAAAACTTGGTTCAAAGACATAAAACCAAAACCAAACCAGTTGCCAAAGAGTTGACTCACTCATGGTAGCCCCATATGTATAGGGAACTATGCTCTATAGGGTTTTCAATGGCTGAAATTTACACATTGAACTTCAGACTGTTAGAACTTGTAACCTTACGTCAGTTGTACCACATGGACTTCAAAGACATAAAAGAAGATCTCAGTTAATGGAGAGTCCATATTCATGAAAGACTCAATATCTTATTCATGAAACACTCAATTGCAAGGTCGGCGATTCAGACTTATCAGCCACTCCTCGGAGACCCTGTACAAGGTTGCTTTTAATAGGAATCGACTTGACGGCACTTAACAAAAACCAATTGTCTCAAAACTTTAAAGCATACAAAGGGAAATAAATTTACTCTTCATATTTTCATAGATTTAAGACCCTTCTAGTATAGAGTGTTTGGAGGAGGTTTTTTTTGTTTTTTTTTTTTCCTTTTCTTTTTGGAGGGATGCTTTTAAATGTTAGCTGTTGATGCTTTATTTCTTCCTGTTTAGTTTCCCAGGTATGCTGAAATTGTCCACTTGACATTACCAGATGGCACAAAGAGAAGTGGACAAGTTCTGGAAGTTAGTGGTTCTAAAGCAGTGGTTCAGGTAAGCAGTATTTTCAAAATTTTGGTCAGTTGAACTTTTTCGTAATCTCGAAAACATAAGGAACCTGCTTGTTTTTTCCTAGTATGCTCATTGAATGCAATGAAGTGTTTAGAGATTGATGATTGGCTATGAAAAAAATTGTTTTGACTTTTTATTTTATTTTCTCCAAAAGTCAGTCTCTTTTTTCACCCCCATGAGATAAAATGAAGCCAAAAGTTATGGAGAAGGAGACATATAAAAAGCAGAATTCACTAATATGGGATAAAACCAAAATATCTCAGGGGGAATCTGGTCCTTTAAACTGTTTCTTAAAATGCTTAGTTTTTAATGTTACATGATTATGAGAAATACTAGTTTTCTCAAATAATTTTTACCCCTAAAATACAGAATAGGGATTGGCAAACATTCTATAAAGACAAGAAATAGTTAAGACTTTGTGGGGCCATATAAGATCTCTATTGCATAACCTTTTCTTAAACAGCCATTTATAATGTAAAAACCATCAGCTTATCAGTTGAACTTGGCCTGCAAACATAGCTTTCCAACCCTTGATCTATAGATTGAGAATTTGGTTCATCGGCATGAACATTTCTTTGTTGTTATTAATATACTGATACTGTCCGTTTAAGGAGCTCTGGTAGTGTAATAGATATGAGTCAGACTGCTAACCTCATGGTCAGCAGTTCGAAACTACCAGCCGTTCTGCGGGAGAAAGATGAGACTTTCTGCTCCCATAAAGATTTACAGCCTCGGAAACCCTGTACAGGGTCACTATGAGTCGGAACCGACTCCACGGTATACTTCCACCACTACCAGTGTTCATTTATGTGTTTTCCTTTATAAAGACTATTTTAACAGAGATACAATTTAAGTACCATTTCTCTTACATGATTACAGCTCTTTCTTGATAGGTATTTGAAGGTACTTCAGGTATAGATGCCAAGAAAACGTCCTGTGAGTTTACTGGAGATATTCTCCGAACACCAGTGTCTGAGGATATGCTTGGTAAATCTTGTTTCCTTTTACACATATTTCCACAAAGTATAGAAAAATTATATTTGAATGTCATTGTCCACTCTGCTCTGTCTTATTGCTATTACAGGTCGAGTATTCAATGGGTCAGGAAAACCCATTGACAGAGGCCCTGTTGTACTGGCTGAAGACTTCCTTGACATCATGGGTAGGGGCAGTTAATGTATTTCTGTATTGGTCGGGCGGGTGGGGGGGGTGGCACACGTAAACTCTGTATTATATAACCTTTACCAGGTAGTGTTTTTCTGTGATATTTTTCTAAATAGATAACCAATTATTTCTAAGACTATATCCATATTTAATCAATTATTTTATCTAAAGACTGTCTTTACAAATGTACAAATCTTCCGATTCTTTACATATAATAACTTAAAACATCACTATGGATTATCTGAAATGTAAATAGTAAAATCATGGCTTTGAAATGAGGGTTTCTCTTATTTACTTTATTTTACTTGAGGAACTTGTTTTACTACCATATATGTCTTGTGAAGCTACAAAAGAGTCATGGAAAACAATTATTTAAACTATTTCAAGTTTCTACAGTAACTGAATTTTTTGAGTAGAGAGAATTCTTTAAACAGTTTTGACCTTTTCTTATGCTGTATTATGTTTTCCTTTTTATTTGCTTTCTACTTCCATTCCAAATAATGGGAAGACATTAATATTTTCTCTTTGGAAAATGTATTATTAGGTCAGCCAATCAATCCTCAATGCCGAATCTACCCAGAGGAGATGATTCAGACTGGTATTTCAGCCATAGATGGCATGAACAGCATTGCCAGGGGGCAGAAAATTCCTATCTTTTCTGCTGCTGGCCTACCGCACAATGAGGTGAGCACTAGGATGTAGTTGGTATGAAATTAACAGGGGACTGTTTCTAAGAGCTTTACTTTAACTTAAAGAAATCAAATAAAGGGTTTTTGTTTATTTGTGTGTGTGTAGTATTTTAACAGAAATTTATTATTTTTTTAATGAAAATATCCCTTTAGTTAGTTAATGACCACAAGAACATTTTTCATAAACCCAGATTACATGTATCAATATACCTACAAGGTTAAAACTCTGCTAGTTAATTTTTGAACCTCCTAATGCATTCTAAGGAGTCCTGGTGTGGCACTGTGGGTTAATGCAAAACCATTTGAACTGCAAGGTTGACGGGTCAAGCTCACCAGCTGCTCCTCAGAAACCCTACCCAGGGTTGCTATGGGTCGGAACCGACTCGATGGCACTTAACAACAACAACAATGCATTCTAAAGAGCTTTGGTAGCATACTGATTACGAATCGGGCTGCTAACCTCAAGGTCAACAGTTCAAAACTACCAGCGGTTTTCATGGGAGAAAGATGAGGCTTTCTGCGTCCATAAAGATTTATTAGTGAAAGACTTCTAAAACATCCCAGTTTTATTTTTAATTGCAGTTTCTAAAAGTTGGATAAAAGTCATTTCTTGATAGGAATATAATCCTATGTTTTAACTCAAGTCTTTTATAATCCATATCAGATCGCAGCTCAAATCTGTCGGCAGGCTGGCTTGGTAAAGAAATCCAAAGATGTAGTTGATTACAGTGAAGAAAATTTTGCCATTGTATTTGCTGCTATGGGTGTAAGTATATAAATACAGCATGTAAAATCAAATGGTTATGTTATTAGGACAGTGTGGTAAACTGCAAATATATAGTTGAATCTCTTTAGGAGAAGAAGTTGACAACTTGACATGTTGACCAAACTAAAGATGAAATTCTAGCATTTGACTGTGAAACTAAAGATTAATCCTCTTCATACCCAAAGCAGGCTGTTTACTTTTCTGACTTTCATAAATATATTTTGGGTACTTGAAACTTGCTAAGAATAAGAATGATTTACTTTAAATCCATAGCTTGGCCTTGATCAGAAATGAATGTTAAGAATTTTTTTTCTCCTAGCACTGATGAAATTATTTCTATTTAGGTAAACATGGAAACTGCTCGGTTCTTCAAATCTGACTTTGAAGAAAATGGCTCCATGGACAATGTCTGTCTCTTTTTAAACTTGGCTAATGACCCAACGTAAGTAATAAAGGCTATTTCTTTAAATCTAGGACAGGGTCAAAAATGTTACATTGTTTTGTAACACTGGTTGTTGTGTTCCATTGAGACCCTTCTGCCTCAGAATGACCCTATAGGACATAGTAGAACTGCTTATAGGATTTCTAAGGTTTAAAAACCAGGTAGGAACCTATCACCAAGTCCTTTCTCCTGTAAATAGACAGTGGGTTCAAACTGTCAACTTTTCTGTTAAGTTTAAGTCTAAACTTAAAATCAAGTCAATTCTGACTCATACAGGAGTATAGAACAGAGTAGAACTGCCCCGTAGGGTTTCCAGAGCTGTAAGCCTATATGGAAATAGACCACTGGATCTTTCTTCCTCTGAGTGGCTGGTGGGTTCAAACCACTGACCTTTTGGATAGCAGCCATCACCCTCTGAGAGACAAATAGTACTTGTTTTACATATTGAAATGAGACCATGCCTATGTTACTCAATAAATGACCCTTATCTCTTAGGTGGGAAATCTGGCCTCCATTTCTTTCTCTACTTTATGCTTCTCACCTTCTTAGTTTTGAGATAACTGTATTCTTAGAAATTGAGGCATTTATAAAATAACCCACTTAAACTTTGTAATTTACGTCATTCTTATTTTAATTACATAAAATGTCTCTGCCTTATTTAAGAGTTTATAAAGAAACAATTCAGTAAAATGTTAAAAGGGAGACTAATATATTTGCAGAATCATTGGTTTGGGTTTTGGCCTTTTTGTCTTAGTGACATAGGACTTAATGTTCCATTTCAGCATTGAGCGAATTATCACTCCACGCCTGGCTCTAACCACAGCTGAATTTCTTGCTTACCAATGTGAGAAGCATGTACTGGTTATACTAACAGACATGAGTTCTTACGCTGAAGCGCTTCGAGAGGTAACATCTTTATTTTTTTTCGGCTTTTTTTATACCTGTTATTGAGCATCTGATGCTTGACCATAAAAATTATGTTCTTTTTTTTCTCTCTCAATTAAACAAAATGGATCCGTTTTCAGAAATATCTTGTCATTTGCAAGTTTACATTGTTTCTTTAATCATATATTTTAAATCATCTGATCCATTTTTCAACAGAATATTGTAATCAAAAAGGAAAATAAGATTTTTGTTATCTGTCAACTTTGTAACATGATTAGAAGGTGAGATTTAAATGATTAGTATGTGCATTACACTGCAATTCTCTCTGTAGATTAAAAGCTGACTGTTAAAGGAGGGAAGGAGTAAATGATGCCAGCTAACGATTCAGATCCTTTCGTGGAAAGTGTATTTCCATACAGGCTGTCAGTGTATCCCCACTCAGCATTCCATTGTTTAAACAGATGAAGACCATTCTCTGTCAGCGCCCTTCAAACCCTTTTCCTTCAGAAAACCCAATGTTTATTAAGCAACAATGCTAATTGACAATTATCTCTCAGAAGTTTTGGAATACTTGTTTTATAAGTTACTGAAATTTTGAGTACGTTCTTTAAAGCACATAAAAAGAACTCTGAAGAAATATGCTACGAAACTTTATTATTGTTAAGTGTCATTGAGTCAGTTCTGACTCTTAGTGACCCTGTGTAGGGTTTCTGAGGAGTAGCTGGTGTGTTTGAATTGCCGACCTTATGATTAGCAGTCCAGTTCATATCCTGCAGCGCTATACTTGTTGTTAATTGTAGTCAATTCCAACTAAAAGCGACCTGTATAGGGTTTCAAAGGAGTGGCTGGTGAGCTTGAACTGCCAACCTTGTGGCTCAAACTGACCTTGCAGTCCAGTGCATTAACCAGCAGTGCCACACCAGGACTCCACTAAGACTCCTATAAATACCTAGCTTCTTAAAATTTTCTAAAATCCTTTACTGTATCTCTTTTTCTTAGTTATTTTTCAAACTAACTGGTGAAGAACTAGTTAGCTGTTACTGTTTTCCCCCTATCCATAGCAGACCAGCGTTATTGTAAAATGCAATGGTGGTGGTGGTTTGCCATCAAGTCAGTTCTGACTCATTGGACTCTTTATGGGAGCAGAAAGCCTCATCTTTCTACCGCAGAATAGCTGGTAGTTTCCAACTGCTGTCCCTGAGGTTAGCAGCCCGATTCGTAACCACTACGCCACCAGAGGGGAGCAGAAAGTGTCATCTTTCTCCCTCAGCTGGTAGATTCAAACTGCTGACATTGAGGTTAGCAGCCCAACTCATAGCCCACTATGCCACCTGGTCTTCTTATAAAATATGGTAGAAATGAATTATTGTAAAAGTGAAAAACATTTTTAATGTAATGCGTAAGTCAGAATCCTGGTGTGACACTGGGCTGCAAGGTCGATTTGAATCGCAAAGTCGGCAGTTCAAGCTCACCAACTGTTCCTCAAAAATCCTACAGGGTTGCTATGGGTTGGAACTGACTCGAAAATGCTTAGCAACAACAATTTACAAGTCTAGAATTTTTTTTTTATTAGATTTAACAGACATGAAATTAAACTGTCAGATTGCCTATATTTCTAGATGTTTTTCGTAGTTTCTGTATTATATTACAGAACACTGTAGTGGTTACTAGTCAGGCTGCTAACCTCAAGGTCAGCAGTTTGAAACTACCAGTGATTCTGTAGGAGAAAGATGAGGCTTTCTGCTCCCGTAAAGATTTACAGCTCAGAACTTCTGTGGACCCAGTAGGGGACCTGGTTGGCAAGCAGTGTGAAGAGGCCTGGGGACTCTTGGGCTCAGAGTCAGTGGCGTGGCCACGGAGGTCTCGAGAGGAGAGTGGAGCTACCGGCTGATGGGAAGAGAGGACATATACACAGGAGCGCCCACACTTGCAGATGATACCCACGTGACCTGGACCGGATGACTGGATGATCGGAGCTCAACCAGGAGAGGAAAGAAGGGGGGAGGGGGGAAGTGAGCTGATACAGTCTGATGAACTTGACCTATACCTATGGAGCAGCGACTCAAAAAGGGAACACATCCTCACAGCAAACATTCACACACACAGAGTGGATGGAGAAGGGCAGCTTTGACATTGGATACTCAAATGGGGAGAGGGGGACTACAAAGGCAAGAAGTGACTGGCTTACAAGCTTTCAAGAGGGAACCTGGTACTAGGGAGCATGGTGGAAGGCAGAATCTCCAGTAGGTACTATTAAGTCTGTCTGGGCGGAGCTGATGAAAGGAGATATAGATGGGTAACTCGTGATACTGTAGTGAATAATGCTTATCAGGATGGATTATGAGGGTTGGAAATGCAAAGGTGGAAGTTTTGTAACAAGGGAGGGAGTGATTAATTCTCCAGGATAGGAGCAGAGGCCTCTGGGACCATCAACGGAGAAGAGCCGAGAGCAGGACCCTACCCAGAGAAACAGAGATGCCTGAGATAGAGACAGAGATGATGACGTGGAGTGATGAAGCGACTGGGGACTTTGGACCCAGAGAGGGAAAGGGACTGTGGGCCGAAAACTGTGGGGAGGAGGGGGAAGTGTAGGGGGCGGGTTTCTGGGATATTCCCTTTGGGTGGTTGATGATGCATGGAGGGGATTGGAACCATGGAAGTGAAATGATATAAGATGGAATGAATGTAAAACTAAAGTTCTCCCATGTAAACTACCGTATAATTCACAATAAAACATTAAAAAAAAAAAAAAAAAAAAGATTTACAGCTCAGAAAACCAATGCAGGGTCGCTATGAGTCGGAACCCACTCCACAGCACATAACTACCACAGTCGCCATTAACAATTGGGCTATAGTCCACACTCAATAATACTATTGTAATACGTCTTTTAAAGGTTCCTAAGTATCCTTAAAAATTGTACTTAATATAATGCTTTAGAGTTTTGTGTGGTTATAGATTTACTGATATGTATGCCAGTTTTCTACGCCTAACTCCTAAGAGAAAGTCTGTTTACAACTATTATTATTTTGTGCAATGTAACAGACTACTTTGTGATCTTATCAAATTTCTTAACTTACCTGACTCTTGATTCCAACTGTAAGTTGAGGTTGTGAGGGTTAAATAATTTATGTAAACCCAGCATATGAATCATGGCATGCATTTCCTACCCTTTTGACATAAATATGGCTAAATATATAGCCTGAGCTATAACTTGTGAATAAAAATGTTCTCTCAGTTTTTAAACTTTTGATTTATAAAATTGCAAGCAGATTTTCCTTTAGCAAAGCTGTATTATGATTTACATTATAGCAATATGATTTTAGCAAAACACTTTTGACTCTCCCATTGCCAGTATTTTTGTTGCAAAACAATTTGACACTTTCTAAACTCATCTTTACTTTTCATAGTCTGGCATATAATATTATTTTTCTTGATTTATTGTCAGGTTTCAGCAGCCAGAGAAGAAGTTCCTGGTCGGCGAGGTTTCCCAGGTTACATGTATACAGATTTAGCTACAATATATGAGCGTGCTGGCCGAGTGGAAGGTAGAAATGGCTCTATTACTCAGATCCCAATTCTCACCATGCCTAATGATGGTAAGACTTTACAATTTGGAATTTAGCTGATCTAAACCCTGATAGCATGTAGTGGATTACAAAATGGATTGCTAACGACAAAGTCAGCAGTTCGAGTCTACCAGTCAGTCACTCCACGGGAGAAAGATGAGGCTTTCTGCTCCCTTAGATTTACAGTATCTGAAACCTTGTAGGGGGTCGCTATGAGTCAGAACCAACTCCACACCAACTAGCACCACTATTTATCCTGGTGCACAGTTGGTTAAACATTGGATTGCTTACCAAAAGATCAGCAGTTCAGACCCACCAGCCACTTGACAGGAGGAAGATGAGACAGTCTGCTTCCATAGAGATTTATAGCTTGGGAAGCCCTGTGGGGCAGTTCTGCTCAGTCCTATAAGGGCCAGTATGAGTAGAAATCCCCTTAGTGGCAATGGTTTATCATTGTAAGGACATAAACTGAGTCCTTTGCAGGACATTGATGTGTAGATATAAGGAATCTTAAAAAAAAAAAAACAATATGTGATTTCTATTTAAGTTACTAAACCTAGTTGGCCATATATTTTATGTGTTGTTAAGTGCGCCAAATGGAGCCCTGGTGTGGTGCTCTGGGTTAATGAACTAGACTGCAAAGCCGTTTGAACTGGTCAATTTGAACCACAAGGTCTGTGGTTCAAACTCTGTAGCCGCTCTTCAGAAATCCTATTACAGGGTTGCTATGAGTCGGAACTGACTCACTGGCACTTAACAATAACAACATACTAAGCTGCCAGATGAAAAGCACATAAAGTAAACGCCACAGACTTCAGAGAATAGAATGTTCAAAAGACAGGTGAAAATGTTTTCTTTTGCTCAGTATGTGAAAGCTCACAGTGCAGTGCCTCTGAGTGTATGTCCAGGGTGAAGATTGTCTGTCAGCAGTCCTCTTAGGATGTATTGCTTTTATGTCATTATCATCAATTTTTTTAAGTTATTTTCATGAGATAATTTCAAAAACAGTACTAACTTGCTGTATTGAGCACTGTTCTGAGTGCTCAGTGCTTTATAATTATTAACTCATTTAGTCTTCATAGAAACGTAAGGGCAGGTACTGTACTCTGAGGCACAGGGAAGTCATTTGTCAAGGTCAAGAAGTAATACCAAACCTGACAAAACAAACCCCTGTCATAGCCACCATATACACATAGGGTTTCGAAGACTGTGAACCTTCACAGGACCAGACATCCTCATCTTTGTCCCACAGAGCAGCGGGTGAGTTTGAACCCCTGACCTTGTGGTTAGGAGCCCAGCAACTAACACACTAGATAGTCTGAATTCGTAATTCACCCTAACCATTGCATTATACTGCCTCTTGACATGAAAGTGGTTTGTTCCTAGGAACTAGTCTCTTTCTTATATATAATTTTACAGATTTAAAAACCTACTGCCTTTGTGTGACCTCTTTCCTGCCTGAGTACTGAACCTGTACTTATTTAATACCCTTATATTTACCATGCTGAATTGTTGTATTTCCATCTAATAGATCCTGTGAATGAATACTATTTGCTCAGTAATGTTCTCAGTGTATAGTGGGAAATTTTCTGCAAGGAAGCTTTATGTTTAGAAATGGAGCTTTGTATTTGAGGGGACCATCACGTAACTTTTTATGAGTGTAGCTAATTTACATAGTATCAACGCATATGTCTAACACTATGCTGTAACCAAATACAAACCACATGTGGATATGTAAATTGAATTTAAATGAATTAAAATTTGAAACTCATGTTTTTCATTGCACTAGCCACATTTTGTGTACTTAAAGTCACGTGTGGCTAGTGGCTACGAAATTGATCAACAGAGATACCTAATTCTATCATCACAGAAAAATCTTTTGAAATACTATGTTGTAGGTGATGCAGATTAACTTGTTGTAGGTTTGTTGATATCAAATGACTGCTTTAACTAAAATTCAGAAACTAAAATACTGTATTTATGCTATAACGTCTTCTTCTGATAGACATCACTCACCCCATCCCTGATTTGACTGGATACATTACAGAGGGACAAATCTATGTGGACAGACAGCTGCACAACAGACAGGTATTTTATATTCAATCAATGTCGTGAGCTTTTAAATCTCTTTAATCTTTTGTGACTAGTGTTTGCTTTTAGGAATTATCTTGTTTATAAAGGATCACCTTGATCTATTATAATATGGTTAGAGAACTGTCATTTCTGTGTACTAAAATTTTGGTGTGAATAAAAGGGGCAGAATTCATTTAACTTTCACGTTTCATAATTGTGTCTTAAGATGGATTCTGTTATCTAAAAAAATCTTTTGGCAGTATTTTTATTTCATAGTGTCGTGTCATCTCCCAATATTGTTTCTTGTTTTTAGAAAAATAAATTTTTTTATAGATAACTAATAGATGCTAGCTTCCTAAATAAGCTCTTAGTTTTCTTAGCTCTCAGTTTTCTTTCATGATTTTATGAATCAGAGTTCAAAATACTATTAACAAGGAGACTCTAGAGTACTATAAAACACATTTTGAAAATGTATAGACTTTCAGTATAGTCTTATACTGTTTTTATAGATTGCACTTTTAGGATTTGATGCCCAAAGAATTTTTTTCTCCCATTCTGTCCAAGATTTACCCACCTATCAATGTGCTGCCTTCATTATCACGGTTAATGAAGTCTGCTATTGGAGAAGGTATGACCAGAAAGGATCACGCTGATGTCTCTAACCAGCTGGTATGTATGCCTATGTACTGTGTTTGGAAGCTCTTTTTTCCTGGCTTAGCACCTCTTGTCTTTCTCTTTTATCACTTTTCCTCACCCTCATCCAAAAATTGTATGTGTGTGTCTCCTGAGTTTGTTGTAGAATTTTAGTAAAAGCTTGATTAGAGTATTGAATTCATTGTTGTTGTTGTTAAGTGCCGTCGAGTCATTAGAACTCAGTTATTATGCTTCTCATAATATGCTTCTCATAAGGATAAGTATTGATAATTAAGATTGACAATAATGCTTGAAACCCACATTTAATTCTATGTAAGAGTTTCTAAATACAAAAACAATAAAACTGTTACATATTTTATTAGCAGTTTTGTTAATAGGTATAATGTTGTCATAAAGGATACTTTAACGTATTTCTTAACATATACTTAACCAGAACACAGTTTTAAATATTCTTTGAAATCATCTATTTATATAGTCATGCTAGGTTATACACCAACCACAAATAAAAATATTTTTGACCATAAAGTAAAAATGAGAGATCTACTTGATATCACAAATACTGTTACTGATTGGATCCTCACAGTGGCTATTTCCTGTGGTTTAAATGCTCTATAAAATGTTAACATAGTGACATTAGTAAGGCAATGTGTTTTTTGGTACAGTGTTGGCAATGTCCATATTATATGCTGCAAGGCTCCCTTTGAGTTACGCTATAATTCTTTCTATGCTTACTCTGCATATGAAATTTATTGATATGGACTATATTTATAAATAATAGTGAAATTTCTCCTGTGGTGTCTTAGGATAATAGCCATCACCATACACGTACATACCTAGAGACTGTTGTTGACATTGATAAAGTCATGCCTCTGTTCTCGTGTAAACCTTGTCTCTTTTCAGTATGCCTGCTATGCTATTGGGAAAGATGTACAAGCCATGAAAGCCGTAGTTGGAGAAGAAGCCCTTACCTCAGATGATCTTCTTTACTTGGAATTTCTGCACAAGTTTGAGAAGAACTTTATTGCTCAGGGTGAGATGGCTATCTTTTTGCAAACATGAACAGCATTATATGTCATTCTTAAGATTGCTTTCCCAGTCTGAGGGAGTTTCTACTGGTCTGTACTCAGTTTTCTTTCTGGCTAGAGAAGTTCTTCCAGCCTCCTGAGTCTTATTTTTACTGGGTCCTTCTCCTCTGACTTAGAATTCTTAGGAAAATCTTTACCAGATTTCCAAGTTTTGTATATACTATATCAGTGTTTTCTTTCATTACCAAGCTTCTGGAAAGGAGCCTTCTGCTCCGCTACCTCCAGCGACTTCGCTTTGCCACTTCTCCATTATCATAAAGACTCTATCTGAACTGACCTCTGGCTTTGGGGGTTTGGGACATTTTTGTTCACCTTCTGTTTTCTTCTCCTTTTCTGCTGTCTTGTATCCTTGTCCCTTTATTAATTATTAATGATCTAAAGGCTCAGTCACCTGTTCTTTATGTGCTTTTCCCTGTGCTGTTGACAATACGTTTCTGTGTCTGGCCCGTGTCTTCTTTCTAAAGCTCTAATCCCACATTTCCAAGTGCCTTCAGGTTTATGTTTACTATTCAGGCCACCATCCCCTCAGGCACAACATGTTCAGTTTTTCAAACTGACTTCCTGTTTGGCCGTTGTCTTTTCAATTTCCGTCTACTGCTGCCATAATCATTGCTCTGAGTAACCAAACTTAGTAATTGGACAGTATTCTTAGCCTTCATCTATCTATTCCCCAGTACCAGTTGCTTGCTAATTTGTATTGTCTTTTAAAAATACCCTGTTGTGTTTTCATACATATTACAAAACTGAAGCCCAGTGTTTCTCCAACTTAAATATGCTTCTGAGTAACTGGGGATTTTGTTAAAATGCAGATTGTAATTGAGTAAATCTAGATGAGGACAGAGATTCTGGATTTCTGTAGGTTCCCAGTAATTCCAAAGCTGCTAGTCTCTGGCCACTCTTTGAGTGGGATTACACTCTGAGGCTAAGGTCATAGTCCCAGCCTGTGTGCCACCATCCTTAGACTTTAGTACCACCCTTTCACTTTACTGCCTATATGCCATTGCCAGATTAAATTCATCACTAATTGTATTAATTATCCCTTTGCTGAAAAAAGTCTCCAATGGGCTATTTTGTTTTACTTTAATTACATATTGTATGTAAATTTTTCACGCTTTTTCTTTATCCTGCTTTTCTCACCTAAGAAATCATAGTGGCTAATATTGTGGGTTCTTTTCTCACCAGAAGAACTTTGTTTTATATTTTTAAATTTTAGTTTAATAGAAAAGCACACAAATCATAAGTATACAGCTTGATGCATTCCTCCAACATAAACAGACCTGCTGTAACCACCACTGAGGTCAAGAATGCGTATTCCTAGTGTTGTTGTTGTTAAGTACCGTGGAGTCTATTCTGGCTCACAGTGACCCTGCACAGGGTTTCTGAGGCTGTAAATCTTTCCAGGAGCAGAAAACTTCATCTTTCTCCCATGGAATAGCTGGTAGTTTCAAACTGCCGACCTTAAGGTTAGCAGCATGATTCGTAACCACTATGCTACCAGTGTAGCAAAACCCATATAGCTGATGCTGCCAAAAGAAAAGAATGTCCACACCTTTATCTCTGTGGTTCTGCCAGGTGTCTGTGGCCGCTCCGATCCTTTCCCCACGTGGTCTCACCCAAGATGGCGGCTCCTGGAGCAGCCGAGCGTCCCAGACTAGAAAGTAATAGATTTCTTGCTTCTGCCACAAATTCCCCTAGCTGTGAGCCTTCCAACCTTCTAAGTATTCCTTTATATGTGGTTCAGAGTTCTGGGACCATCCCCTGAACCTGCTTGGTCGGGTATTCTGTATTGTTGTTCGTGGAGCTCTCTGCTATACGTCCACCCGATCCGCCATCTTGTTTGTTCCTGACTGGTCCCTCTTGACAGTATGTCTGAAGTATGACAGACGAAGTTTGGCCTTCCTGGCCTCCAGGGTCAGAACTGACTTGAAGGCACTTAACAGCAAACCAGGAGAGATATCAAATTACTTTAGGTAAAGTTGAATTTCAGATGGCTCACTTATAAGCAATTTAGATGGCTCACTTATAAGATTTATTTGGGAGAATGAGACTCATTCTGCTGTTAACAGTTAATAGCTTTTTGCTGCTAACTGATGGTCCATGAAGTGGATTGTACTCATGGTAATAACAGGAGGTATATATTTGTTCAGTGTGGCACTGATGATTTGCTCTGTGAACCTTCACTCAATTCACAACAAAAAGTTTAATAATAATAACTTTTGAAAACAGTTGACCTGTGTATGCATCCCAGGTGTTCTTCAGCATTGAAGCTTCCTAGGCATCTGTGCTGGTCTCCCTCCAATTCAACCTTTTCTCCTCGGTGTGAACCCTCTGTTCCAGGGAGCTGCTTTTCTCCGTGATCTCTAGACAAACGCTGGGTGTGGGCCCCAAGACTTGGCTTACATATAGTTCTCATTGCTCAAGATATTTAAACCCTACTCAGTATTCCCAGCTCAAGGCCTGCCTTCCCTAGCCAGTGTGTGTCTACATTGTCACACTGCTGATACTGCCTGCACCCTTCATTTCCACATTCGATCACGTCCAATCTTGGGAGACTACTTTTTGGTCTCTCTTTCCTAATATTTTGTACACAGAGTGCTAGGCATCTGACAGACACTAAATTGCTGCTAAGTGCCTTTGAGTGGGTTCCAACTCCCAGTGTCGTTGTGTAGCTTTCTGAAGCTGTCAATCTTTACGGGAACAGAAAGCCTTATCTTTCTCCCAGACACTGAACAGCACTTGTAAAATGGAAATCAGTTGTCTATATTTATTCAATCTCTATTTTTCTTTTTTAAGGTCCTTATGAAAATCGTACTGTGTATGAGACTTTGGACATTGGCTGGCAACTTCTCCGAATCTTCCCCAAAGAAATGTTGAAGAGAATCCCTCAGAGCACTCTAAGCGAGTTCTACCCTCGAGACTCTGCAAAGCATTAGCTGCTACTTCACTGCTGGCTCTGTACTCTTGTGAAATACTGGTTCTATTTTCTTTATTCCTTTTGGACTCCCTTATCCCCACCTTTGTGTTGGAGTTTACTGTGTTACCCCTGTAATTAAAAACAAAGAGTAAGTAACATATTGTGCCAGTGTTCCAATGTTTTAAACTGATAACAGGATTTAAAATATCCCTTATTCAGAAAACCTGGATCTTCAGTGCTTTGTTTAAAATAGCTGCAAAGATGGAGGTGAAAATTTTCTTATTGTTGTAGTATTTGTACATAGTGATGTAGTTAGTTGCCTAATAATGTCATTATTTGGGGATCCTTAGCCTGATGACTCAGCCCACTCAAGAGTATCATCATCTGAAGTTACAGTTAGAGCCAGATCAGGTCAGAAAGGATCCCCCTTTACAAAGAGCAGGGCTCTCTCCTGAGCATTTTGCTTTTGGTGGGGTGCCTCTGGGTGTGTGCTGCTGCTCTAAGCAGATGGCTCTTCCTGTCCACCAGCTCCTTCCTTCTTAATGAGTAGATGAGCGAAGGAAGTTCATTTTCCTTTTTCATTTTAATATGTGTTGTATTGGGACACTTGTGTCTTAAAGTTGTCCCTCAGTGACACGGAATCATGCAACCTTTGCACAACTGGCTTGTCTGGTAGTAGGTAGTGAGCTGTCTCCTCTTGATGAGACTGGCTGGGTTTCCTTGCAGAGGAATCATATACTTAAAATAACTCACAGAACTCTTGCTTGGAAGTTGAGGGAGAATGAGAAGAAAGCCAAATCCAGTCCCTTTCCACATTTTGACTTTATTAAGAGTGGTTTACATTTCTAAACTGTTTAGTGAAGCAGAAGGCAGAGTGGTGAGGAGAGAAGTGTGACTGCTCATATGTTTTATGGATATTTTAAACTCTGTTAGAAACAGCCTCTGGAAATGTCCCCTATTTGTCCTGCTTTCTGACCTGTCTTTGCCTTTTCATGGTAATTTTGTGGCACAAGTAATAGCAATTAAAAGCTTTAGAAGTACAGTTCTTGCTCCTTCCTCATGTTAGCCCTGAAGCCCTCTTCTACGCAGCTCTGCCATGTCTACTGTTTGGTCTCTTTGTGTTCTCTGTTACTTGGGTGCAATAGCAACTTCTCTACTTTGTGCATTCCATCTTTCAAGTTGTGTAAGTTCTTTTTTTCTTTGAGAGGGTGGGGGGAGTCAGCATGATAATATTTTAATGTAGAAAATGTGACATCTAAATATGAAATGAAAATAAATGTTAAATTAAATGGAAGTTACCTAAAGTGGTTCTTGTATCTTCTAATCAGAAAAACAATAGCATCAAGCAAATGTATATATACTACATAATAATATATTTCATTAGCTCACAGTTTTGAACATCTTAGCCTGCCTGGTGACCCAGATGTGTTGTAGAGTCGTTGCCCACGTTTTATACCCTGTTCTCTTTCAGGCTTCCATTGCAACTCTTTTTGCCAATAGCTCTTAAAACATAGTGTCATTTGATCTAGAGTTACTATAGGTATTCCATAACTTTCTGTATTCACACACTTTCTGGGACCTATTCTTGCCATTATTGAAAAGATAAGCAATGAAATACCTTTCAGAAAAGTGGTTTAAAGCAAGCCAATGTTTGTTAAGTGCCATCGAGTTGGTTCTGACCCCTAGCAACCCTGTATAGGGTTTCCGAGGAGCCGCTGGTGAGCTTGAACTGCTGACCTTGGGGTTCAAACCAACTTTCCAGTCCAGTGCATTAACCCATAGCACCACTCCAGGACTCCAATACTTGTTTCAAATAATATCTTGAAGAGATTGTCAAGTATATAAAATAAGTAGCTGATTAAAGTACATGAGTGGGGTTAGGGAGGCCTCCTGTTTCTCCTCTTCTCTCCAAGGCTGCTTTGAGGTGAAAAGGCCCAATCATAGCAAGAAGTAAGCAGACAAAGTTCTAATTCTGCTTCTGCTACTAACTACATGACCTTGCTTACTCATTTTAAAAAAATTGATCTGTTTATTTATGTGCTTTTTAAGGTTATTATGAGGACTGAGTTTATGTGTCTTTAAAAAAAAAAAAAAGCAATTCCTGGACCATAGTAGATATTCATTGTTGTTGTTATGTGCCGTGGAGTCAATTCCAATTCTTAGTGACCCTGTACAGGGTTTCCGAGGCTGTAAATCTTTACAGGAATAGAAAGCCTCATCTTTCTCCCGTGGAACAGCTGGTAGTTTCAAACTGCTGACCCTGAGGTTCACAGCCCGATTTGTAACCACTATGTTACCAGAGCTCCTTAGATATTCATAGTGAGCTGTGTTTACTCACTGGGAGCCCTGAGAGTGCCATCAGTAAGCACTTGGCTGTTAACCTAAAGGTCAGCGGTTCTAACCCTCCAGCTGTTCCATGGGAGAAAGATGTGATAGTCTGTGTTCATAAAGATTACAGCCTTAGGGTCATTCTGCTCTGTCACTATGAGTTTGGTGTGGTTTTCTTAACAAAGCTTTACTAAGGGAGATTAGACTTTTATTCTCTTACGCAATACTACAGTCAGTTGTTTAACTAGCACTTGTTTGCATTGCTAGCCTTTCAGACTTGCTACTTATTTTTTAATGAAAACATTTTTTAGTGAGCCTATTTTGCCCTGGTTGGAATGTGGTGGCTCTGTAGGATAAGCACTGGGCTGCTAACTGCAAGGTCAATGGTTCAAATCCACCAGCTGCTCCTGGAAACCCGATATTATAGTCACTATGAGTCAGAACCTATTTGACAACAACAACCTAAACCTGGTTATTAACTCTTCAGCACAGAGCCTCCATGATCACATTTGTAAAAAACAGAAAATTCATTTAACTCAAAAGTAAAAGTGTTTGTTGTTTGAGAAGAGAAAAGGTATCTTGAAAAGTCTAGATAAGTGACTCATTAAACATTTATTGCCTTCAGTTTACTGTTACTTCAGTTTGTGAGATTTCATGTAAGTGAAAAAATGTTTTCAGACTAAGGTAGTAAATATCTCACCAAGATGTTTTATTTTCAGCAAGTGTGGGTAGTGCAAGATGTTTAAGGCCAAGGCAGCATTGTCTGATTAGTTGAAATGTTTTGTTATTACTTTATGTGAAAGTTAGCCGAATCCAGTATTAGGTACCAAAAGAAAATAGTTGGCCGAACTAAAATTTTAAAATACCATTTAGAAACTACCACAAGAAAAATTAGGTAAGGCACTTCTCAAGGGAAGATACCTTATTGATAAAAATTAGATATAAAGAAATGGGTTTTAAAGAATTAAATGGCCGTATTTCCTACTCTGGTACCAACTGTAGTTTTAGTATTGCAAGCTGTTTTCTCTAATTTGGGCTTAAACCTGCCCAGCATTCAAGCAAACAGTGATACCAAAAGTTGCCCACCACATCCATATATGATCCCTACAACAGCAACAGTGAACAGATGACTGATCTTCAGAAACAAAATCTTTTCCAGTCACTGACTGATGAGCCACAGGAGCTTTACAACCTCAGCACAAGTGGCAAAACCTGCCCGGAAAACTTGGTAAATAAGTTCTGTCACTTGGGCCACCTAGGAATGGTGGACTGCTCCCACAGTTCCTAGTTACAGGAAAACATCTAACTGTAGCCCATCCTGAAGCTGAACGCCACAGATAAGATCTGGAGTTGGCCTGTGTGGTTTGTAGGTACCTGATGTTCCTTTCCTAGTTTAGAATAAAGAACAGCCATTTATTGTAGTTAGCAATTATAAGTCACTCCCATAAGAAAGATCACTTGTTTTCAAAGGATTTTATAAATTTAATGAACTTGTAGCATTTTCTACTGTATACCCACGTAGCTCCCTATAAACAGACTTTTTTAAATGGTCACACAGGGATCGCCTGCTGGGTTGAGCTAGCTCAGTCCTCTTTCCATGGTACCATGTCAACATTCAAAGATCACTCCATCAATTGTAACGGACCTCACAAATCCTGAGCACTCTAAAGCCAGGATAGTATTTACAGTCCTGGTTTCTTAGGCGACAATGGTGGTATGAATAACTAAAAGGTTCTGGTGGGCTTGGACAGGACTGGTCAAGCACTTCACCAGACCACACAACAACCTCAAAACATTTCACTTTTCTAAGCAGTTAGACTCTTCATTGCCACAAGAGGGCAACCCCTCCTGAACACTCTCTAGCTGGCTGACAATTTCGGATGCAGAAATAAGAAACATCAATTGCTGTGGTAAGGAAATCAGTGGTTCACTCAGTCAAATGGTGCATTTTTGAAGCTATGCATTAGCCTAGAAGCTAAAAGGAAACATGCTCTACTAAGACTAAAGCCTGAAGTAGAGTCCTGGTTTGTGGAATCAGGAGGTCGAGTTAGAGATCATAGAGAAATTCCAGTCCAGTGCTCTCATGAATCCTCAAGATCCAGCTCTGGTGACTGTGGTGCTGCCCTAGGAAATACCCCAGATGGACACTTCTGATGGCTCAAGTGCTCAAGTGTTCTTTCTTAACTAGGGTAAAGCTTACCAAGAACTTCACATAGTGGTGCCCTCAACTGAAGCTCTTCCACCACTTTGCAGATAGTTGCCACATACCAGTCTTCTTCAAGATAAATGTTGGGAGTTACATAGCTGTCCCTCATTGTATGACTAACAGAACTATTCACCTATTCAGTAACTGAACAGGACTCAAGACTCAGAACTCTTATAGGATAGAAATCTTTGTATTTCTGTTGTTTTGATTGCTCTTCTAATAATGTTAACTTTATACTTTCTATAGAAGAAGAGTTTCTACTCCACAACTTAAGAGGTCAGCCCATGGGAATCAAGACTGCTCCCAAGCTGGTACTTGGAACTGGCGCCATGGAAGCCTTGAATATGGCTTTTGGGATCAGCCTCTGGTCCATGTCCAGGTTAATGGACTCCTTTCTAGGTTCTGTTCTCTGCTTCTACATTTCCCCAGGATCTGCTATTCAGTAGCACTCAGGTGAAACCCTACCACCAGGGAAGTTTTATTGT